CTCCGCGCGACGGCAGAACATCATTGTCGCCGCCGCCGATGCCGTCGTCTCCGTCGACACAGCCAACAAGGAGTGAGGAAAGGTAACGATGCGTTTTGTAATTCCCTGCCCTGAAAAAAAGCCATGAGTCTAGAAGCCCCCTGGGAAATCTTAAAAGCTCCGGTGAGCTCTGGACGACTCTGAGCACCCGCTCCGCCACGCACCTGGCATGGACCGCGAGCGTTCCGATGTGTGCTGCGCACGAGGTCCCCGCGGTGCCACCGCGCCAAGTTCACATGACCAGAGAAATAGAAAGACAGAGAGACAGAAAGAGAGAGAGAGAGAGAGAGAGAAACAGAGCGAAGGGAGACAAGATATACAGAGACAAAACAACACAGATGAGAGCAGAGAGGAAAGAGGAGAGAGGAGGGAGAAAGAAGCATAACAAAGTAAGAGATCGACTGCAACAAGTACATAGATCTATATATATATGTAAATGCAAACACATAAACATAACCCTATGTGTATGTATGAGCATGCGTGCGTGCGGTTGATCCATACACATAAGTACGCGTGACTATATATATATATATATATATATATATATATATATATATTATATATATATATATATATATATACTTCGGGGTTGCCCTGGCTTCGGCCGAAAACCCCCCGCTCCGTCGGGGCGCGCCCCCGCCCCACACTCACCGTGGGCGCGCGGGGGGTCCGCACTGGCCGCAAGGGGACGCGGCAACCTTGGGGTAAGGAAGGGGAAGGAGGAAAAAAAAAAAAAAAAAAAAAAAAAAAAAAAAAAAAAAAAAAAAAAACTATACAAATTTACCTAGATATAGATATATGTGTGCCGGGCCATAGAACAACAACAAGCAAGCGAAATGACAAACAACCACGCAAACAAACAAACAAACAAAACACAGCATGCCGAACCCACGCATGAGCACCAAACGATCCAAGGACACCACAAACTCGGCAAAACGTCGGGCACCCGTGCCGGAACGAGCCAGACAGGGCGGCAGCAAGAGGTGCCACCAGTGGCCCGAGACAAATTCGACTACACCGAGTTGGCCTGCCAGTAGGCGGCGGCGAACCCCGGGGGGAACGCAGACGGGGTGGGCATTACCAGAAGGCATGGAAGGCAACGGGCCTTCTTAAAGAAACGTTCTAAGGTTGTCCGAAGAAAGCACCTTCTCAGACGGCCGGGGGGCCCATGAGAAGCTCGCGTTCTAGCTCTGAACCTGACCAGAACTGGGGCCACTCCCCCGGAGAGCCAGTGGCATGTCGATGTCACCAGATCTATCTGCAGAAGCAAGAGGCTGATGTGACATGGCTCCGACGATGACGTATGTGATCCTGGTCTCCCGTGACACCCGAGGGCGGAGGGAACCAGGACCTCTTTTCCACTATTTTCCAGTGCGGGCTGCAGGGTGTAAGCAGTCTCTGTCTTTCAAGGTGCGACCGGCTTGAGCCACCTTGAGCCAAAGCGGTTGCAGTAGCAGCTGGCGCGCGCGTGCCAGACGTAGCTGGCTTGCCAACCGGCGATAGACAATATGTTATTACATTGACTCAAAAAAGTAGCTGCGGACAGCACAAATGCATGCATCATCGATAGATCGGCGATGGCTTTGGCAATGGAGTCTACAAATACAATCGTGAATCGGCAAAGAAATGATGGCTCAGAATGCCCGCTGTCCCGTGACGCCCTGGGGCGGAGGGAATGCGAGCTGGACGTTGCACTCTGATCAACACACTCTCAAGATACGAATTGCAGAGAACTGTATCCATACTGCCTGTCACGCACTCCCCCCTGACTGGGCCTGCTCTCAGTGCCCTGTCAGTCCGTGTGACCAGGCTGGCCATCGTCCTCCTGCGGGTGGTCACGGCGAACTCGAGCCACGGCTTTCAGGACCGCTCGGGCATCTCGTTGGTCTCCAGTGAGTTTCCTCTTCTTCTTGGCCCGCTTCGTGACCTCAACCGCGGTCGTGTCGATCTCGGTCTTCTGCTGGATAGCCCAACAGCCGCGGCCCCACTCCGTGATGTGCAAGATCGCGTGTTGGCGCTCGCAGAACCGTCTGTACGGCCCCAGCGTCTTCCGGTACTTCTGATTCCACTCCGGAAGGACGAAGAGGGCGCGCGAAGCTCGCTCTCCCAGCCGGGCGACGCCGGCAAGGATCAGCATAAGAGCCTCTCTGGCTAGCACCTGCTTCTCTCCAGGCTCGGAACCCGGAGCTGCTCCAACCGTCTGCGTCGAGCCTTGGCCAGCAGCCCCCTGACACCCGTGGGCGGAGGGGCCGCTACCCGACGGCTCAACCTGCTCCTCTTCCTCGTCCGTGTTCTCTAGGTCGACCTGATGCGCCGGCGAGCCCGCAGCCGCACCGTCGTGGACCTTCCCGGAGGCCTCCGGCGCCGCAGACGACGATGAACATGAAGAAATTGGCGGCAACGGTTTCTGGCCGTGCTCCTTGCACACGGACAGATAGAACTCGTAGAGGTCGCCCTGGTACGTCTTCTTCGTCTCCTTCAGCGAAAGCAATCTGGAATCGTCCTTCAGAGACCAGATCTGTGCAATCCGTTGCCAGTACGCATCCTCGAGCTTAGGGCCGTCGCCGGCTTCGTCCCCACTCTGCTGTGGCCCGGGTGTCACTCTGGTGCGGTGGTGGACCGCAGCACTGCGCAACAACCGGCGTCGACGAACCATCGCCGCCCACCACGTCGAATCAGACTCCCGGACGGTGTTGTGCTCCCCCGGAATCGGCGGCAGATCGGCATTCATCGCGTTCCTCGTTATCTATAACATGGTGGACGTGCTCATTTTCGTGAGGCTGTCGGCTGCCATGTCGCTCGTCGGGCAGTACCTGAGCTCGATGTTGCCCAAGAGTTTCTCGTCTGCCAGCCTCCCTGCACGAACGGCGAAATACCGGGTTCTCCAGGAACCCCCAAATTCGGCGACGCTCAGGGCTGATTTGTTGTCTATCGACAATATGGCAGGGCGCAGCTGCACACCCCACTCCACCAAGAGCCCCTTGAGCCCCTCGACGATTTGAAAGGTGATGGCTGCGGCGGCGACCTCTGCCTCGCACGTTGAGAGCGCAGCAGTTGGTTGACGAGACGATCTCCATAGAACGACTCCCCCTGCCCATGATACGAGAACTCCGGTCTGGCTTTTGGTCCCCAGTCCCCCATATCCTGCGTCTGACCATCCCACTAATGCGCCCTCGTCCCCTCCAGCAGGAAGTCGTAGTCCGTGTTTGACTGTCCCACATAGGTAACGAAGTACTTTTTTACATAACTGCAGGGTCCAAGCTCCGTGTTTGGTTGCAGTAGATGATATGATACTAGTGTAGTATGCCAGATCAGCACGCGCACGGGTGGAAAGCCAATTGAATTCGCCCGCAAAGCCCTGTAGGACCTTCAGCTCCCCGGCAGTCGGGGAGTCTGCCGCATCTGGCACTGCCATTTGTATTGCGGCAATGGGCTTGCTGAGTTTGTCCAGGCCGTGTTTGGTGAGCAACTGTCTGATGAACGTCTGCTGATGTATCAGTAGATCACCGCTCCCGGCGTCGATCTCTAGCTCCAGTCCAAGAAACATGAGTGGTGTAGAAGATGATAAATACACTTCTGTCGACATTTTCCAAAGACTCCGAAGTTGCGCTGTTAACGTGTCACGAATATCACCAGATGGCATGAGCAGTAGCATGTCATCTACGTAACACACCAAGAGTCCCAATGTCGTGGTATTCCCATCTTCAACTATTCGCCACACCTGGGAATCGGCAGCACACTGTTTCAAGCGATAGTTACGGCCCTGATTGCTGAAAGCAGCCTCTCGGAGCCGGGCGTCTCGCTCGAGCCCCCACGCTCTTGGAGAGCATCGAAGACCGTATACCGCCTTCCTGAGAGTCCACAAAGTGTCTGGAGGTACCAAGCCAAGCGTAACCCAGATCTTGGGCGGCCGGACCACCACCAGGAGGTCATCCGGCAAAGGAGCATACATAAATGCACCCTTGATGTCCAACTTGCCAATGGACCAACGACGGATCTGAGCGAGCCTCAGGCCCGCCATAACAGAGCTGGTTTCCGCCTGCGCCGTCCACACTTGCTCGGTGGGATCTTTGGTCGCGAAGTTGCCACAGACACATCCACGGCACTTGTGTACTCCTCCTCTCTTGCGAGTCCACGCCGCTTTCATAGGCAACACGCGTGACTGTCCACCCACTGCTGCAAGCTCGGCGGCTGTCGCATCGCTGACCGCCCGCATCCTGTAGAACGACTCGTGTACCTCCTGCTCGGCAGCCAGTCTCCACTGCTCACGTTCGGGCCCTGTGGCTGCCCGGATGTCTCGTTCCGGAACAGAAACCGCCCCTGGCTCGAGCAACAGTTGAGATTCGGCATCTTCGTCGAGAATACAGTGCTGTTCGGTGTCGTATTCGCCTGGCTCCCCCGTAACTGCGGCGGACGCCACAATTGGGAGCGGCTCCCAAATGCCTCGGTAGCGGAGTTTCTTCTTTCCACGTCTCCGGCGCGAACGCCGAGGCTGGATATCGTTATCGTCCTCTGCGTGGTCATAAGATTCTTCTTCTGATGCATTGGATGCCGGCGCCGCCGCGGCAGCGTCGACAGAAACGCTCTCCTGGGAGGATATCGCTCGGACCATATGCTCGGACCCACGACAAAATGATCGTCATCACTATTGTTTTCAAGCTCTAGCAAATCATCCTCGGTATCTGGTGCATCCGTGGTTGCTCCCCCGTGCTCGCTGAAGCATTGGGAGGTTGCGTAAGTAGCTTGTGCGGTTGACTCAACGTCTGACAATGACAAGGCGGCATGAAGATACACTGCAGGCGCCACTCCGTGCCGATGTGACTGCGCATCCCGTGACACCCGAGGGCGGAGGGACCGCATGTCATTGTTCAGTGCACTGGATGACTGTGGAAGCGGTTGTTCGTCAAGAAAACCCACAATCTTCTGCTTGCCTGCGGGCACTTCACCCGGCTGCTCTTCCG